TTATCTGTAAGAGGTGGATGTACAAGAGGGAGTGTTGTAAAATGTCCATCAACCGCCTTAGCTTTGAGGCGGTGAGTGGAGGAGGGGGAGTTGGCTATAAATACCCCCCTTCCTATTTCATTTTTACTTGACAGTGATTGAGAAAAGCAAAGAAATATACAGTCCATTTTTACCTTTATTTTCTTCATATTTATACGTCTTTCTAGTCTATTACACTTGTACCGCTAAAATTAAAACACCTACTTCTTAATTCTAATGAAAATACGTTGAAAAAAAAGAAAGTTTTCTGAAATTTTTATATATCATGAATTTCTGTTGAAATTTCTTTAAAACATTTTTAATCAAGATTTATTTAGTATTGTCGGTCACAAAATTAAGGCACACTGACTAGGCTATTTTTAATAAGAAGATTTTTCTGCATAAATATATAGAATATTTAATATCATTATATAATATAAATTTCAAGAATGTTATCAAGATTAATATGCCCTTGTTAGTAACAATCGCATATATTAGGAAATCAGAATCAACAAACACATATACTTTTGAGTTTAATATAGTAAACTCAAATAATTTTTATTTATAATAGAAACCCCACTACTAAACTGCAAAAAAACAAAAAAACAAAAAAAAAAAAAATATGAACACAAAATATGACCTGACGCCAAAAAGAAATTAAAAAAAAGGGGAGGCAATGGTGATTTCAAACTTCCAAGACTAAAGCACCTTTTTATGCTATTTAAAGCACCTTTGTTCCAAAAACGCCAAGTGGCAAAACTNATATATATATATATATATATTTGAGGAAACCCATCCCAATAAGGTAATTCAAAAAAGGTTTACTAGTAAGGAATTTTTTAAATTCATTAATTCTTAAAAAACCAATCCCTAAAATAAATACCAAATAAATTTTAATTCTATTACAAGTTTGAGAAGACATCCTTGCTTTATTTTATGCTATGCAACTCCTATTCCTTCAAACAAAGAAAGTAGTTGGAAATCCTCTTTAATTTAAACCGCTTTTCCTATTACAAGTTTAAGGAGACATCCTAATCCTTCAAACAAGCTACTTGAAAATCCTTTTTAATTTAAACCACTTTTCCTATTACAAGTTTGAGGAGACATCCTAATCCTTCAAACAAACCACATGGAAATCCTTTTTTATTTTTGGTTAATTTTCTTATCCAAATTATCTTATGTTAGCAAAATTACTGTTATAAATGAAAACCACCTTTCCTATTACGATTTACGACAATATTTTCCTTATGCTTTGAGGTTGTAGATAATAGTATAAATAAGGGACATTATTTGATTTTCTTCTCATCTTTTTGTTCTCTAATTCTCACTTAAAGCTTACAAATCGAAACACACAAACATCAACTAGAAATACAAAGGATGAATTCGATGTTTAGTTTATTTGATGCGTTCTGTGCTGGTTGTTTGAGCCCGAAACGGAGAGCGGGCCTCTTTGATTTGTGCAACCAACAAGAGTAACAATACACAGGTGCAGTCACAGGATTATTCAAGCAGTAGTCTTAACTTGAATAAGAAGCAAGGTGGTCACACATCATCAAAGACGAGTAGTGGGAAGCCCATGTTTTCACCGGAGTTGGATGGATTGCACTGTTTTGAAACCCTCGTCTTCTACAAATAATTTATGTACGGAAGAAGTAGATGATTAGATATATCGAAAATCTTTTTTGAATTTTTTTCCGTTATTTTATTCATTTATTGATTAATGATTCTAATTTGTGTAAAGATAATTAGTTGATCAATTAGTAGATATTATGATAAGTATTTAATTTCTTGGTTTTCAACTAATATCCTTAATTTTGATTCCATGAAAAAGCGAACAAAAAAATTCACCACCTAGCTTGTGTGAAGGAGATATGTGATTTCATTTCTTAATTACAAGAAATCTTATCAACTAACTTTGACAAACTTCTGTTTAGCCTCTGTAAACAATAAATTTAATTTTAACAGTTCATAATTCACTAAAAAATTACTTGGTAGGGGGTAAATCTGCCTTTTGTCTAACCCAATTATTTTAATTCACTAAAAAATTACTTGATAGTAGACCATTAATTGACCATTGTCATATTTTACCAAACAATTGGTGTTCTTGTCTTTGTCGTGGCTTTTCGACTTTATTCAAATTAAATTTTATAACTTCTGTGGCATCTATGCAATTTATATATCTTTTCATTCTTAAATTTGAAGTAACTTGAAAGCTGAGTTCTTCCATTAATTTTGTACACAAAGATAAACATAGAGTAGCTTTTGTTGGAAAAATGGCTCATTTAGCAAATCACATAGAAGTAGAAGTGATAATGAAAAAAAGTTTAGGGACTTATAGTGATAGGCCAAAATGTTAGTTTGTCCCACATTGCTTGGGAATGAAAAGTGGGAAACTTTTGGGGCCTATATATAAGAACTTAAATCATTGTTATTTGTATCTCAAGTTGTAATTCCATTATACTTCTTTTGTTTAGGGTTCTTTCTTTAAGGACCCTTTAGTTTGCAAGTTTTGTTGTATCTCTCCTTTGTTTTGGGTATTTGTTGTATTGTCCAAAAAGTTGTAATATTGTTTAGAGATAGTGAAGTTTTCTTTTGTAGCGCCCGATGACGTAGGTTTTAATACCGAACCTCGTTAATTATTGGTATTCTTTATTTTTGCATTTAATTTTGGCAATTTATTTATGCTTTACTACTTGTTATTATTATATTCAATAGCTAGCGTTAGAGTTTATGTTTCCGTTGCATAACAAGTGGTATAAGAGCCTAGATTTAGGACAGTGAGTAGTTATTTATATGGTTATATACATGTCTAGGAAAATTCTGTCAAAAAGACGATAAAAGTCTAAGGAGACTGGATTTTAAGTGGGACCATTTGTGACCCCTCCATTGTTTCCTGAGAATTTTCCTGGTATGCGTATTTAATCATTTCAGCACTTACTACTACCTAGGGCTATTGTTGATTTGTTGGTTAGCTAGTGAATATAATAATTTGTGGTGCTTGGTTATTGGGAACTTTGTTTACCAAGCCAATTGAGTAAGGCATAAATGGCGTCATTGTCCGAGGATTCATCGTCCGAGGCATCACCGTTCGCGGCACCACCATCCGTGCCAGTAAAGATGATAACGGTTTCAAATGCAAAAATTGATGTTGAAAAATTTGATGGCCAAAATAATTTTGGCTTGTGGCAGAGTGAGGTAATGGATAGCTTGTATCAGCAGGATCTAGATATCATTCTGGAGGAGGAAAAACCAGAAAATATCTATGAGAAAGACTGGGTGAGGTTGAATGAAAAAGCATATAGAATGATTCGCTCATGTTTTTGTAGAGAGCAGAAATATCCATTCATGAAAAAGAATTCTGCCAATAAGTTATGGAAGGCGCTGGAAAACAAATACATGAATGAGAGAAGAGGAAGATCTCGTTCGAAGGAAAAACTCAATAGGGATCAATGTGCCTTTTGTCGTGAGAATGGGCATTGGAAGAAAGATTGTCCGAAGTTGAAAAAGAAAGAGGGCAAAGCTGCTTCTGATGCATGCGTTGTTGAGCGTGAAGAGGATGAGTCAGATTTTTGTCTAGTTAGCCTACCATCCACCTCTGGATCAAATTAGTGGATTATGGATTCAGGTAGTACCTATCATATGTGTCCTCACCAGGACTGGTTCTTTAATTTTGAAGAACGTGATGGAGTTGTTTATATGGGCAATGATGATGCTTGTAAAACAACTGGGATGAGTTCAATTCGGTTGAAGAATCATGATGGCTTGACTAGAACTCTGACAGATGTTCGGTATGTACCGAAGTTGAAAAAGAATCTCATCTCTTTGGGAGCCTTGGAATCTAAAGGCTTCACGGTGAATATGCGAGATGGAATTCTAAAAGTTTCTTCAAGCGCTCTTATGGTAATGAAAGGCACAAGGAGAAACAACTTGTATTACTGTAATAGTAGTACAGTTATTGGAACGACAACTGCAGTCGTACAAGAGGATGCAGATTCAGAAATGCTCAACTTGTGGCATATGTGTGTGGAGCATACTCGACAGCAAGTGGAGTTTGAAACAACAGCTGAACCAGATAGTGTCCACGAGACAGAAAGTGATTCTGAGGTGACTAATGTGGATATTATAGATGAAAAGGAGAATTTACCCCAATAATCTCCTCAGCAACAGGAATCGATTGCATACAATAGGCCAAGACGAGAAATTCGCAAGCCTGCTCGTTTCGCTAGTATGGGGGCTTATGCACTTCCAATCGTAGGTGATGATATTCCTACTACTTATAAAGAAGTAGTTAGGAGTTCAAATTGTGAATCATGGAAACCGGCCATGAATGATGAAATGCGATCCCTACATAAGAAGGCGATTGGGTGCAAATGGGTGTATGCAAAGAAGAAGGGATTTCCTAATAGAGAAGATGTTCGGCACAAGGTTAGGTTGGTAGTAAAGGGATACGCTCAAATGGAAGGATTTGATTACAGTGAACTGTTTTCTCCTGTGGTAAAGTATTCTTCCATTCTAATTTTGCTAACATTGGTGGCACAATTTGATTTTGAACTAGTTCAATTGGATGTGAAAATTGCGTTTTCACATGGTAGTTTGGAAGAGGAAATCTACAAGACTCAGCCAGATGATTATAGAGTTGCTGGAAAGAAAAATTGGGTTTGCAGATTGAAGAAATCGCTATATAGTTTGAAGCAGTCATCAAGACAGTGGTACAAGCGATTTGGTCAATGTATGATGGGCCATGGGTACACAAGGCCTGATATTTCACAAGCAGTTAGTATGGTGAGCAGGCATATGCATGATCCTGGTAAAGGACATTTGCAAGTTGTGAAATGGTTTCTACAGTATATTTTATGTACTATAGATATTGGTTTAGTTTTTGTGTGGGATTATATTGAAAATGGGAAAATGATTCTCCAGAAGATTGGCACAGAAGATAATCCTACAGACATNAAAAAAAAAAAAAAAAAAAAATAAGGGAGCAGCAAATAACCATTGGTAACACTGGTTTCTTGGTTAATCAGTAAGAAAAATTTCGGCAAACTTCAACCAAACCAATGTTTTTGATCCCATTAATCTTATTACTCATCCTTTTTTGTCACAATTAGAAATTAATTAAACAAAAGAGCAACCTCAAACTGTTAATTATGAAGACACTAATACATTTGATATGTAGAAATTTGGCAGAAGACATGACTCAACTAAACAAAAATGCTTTCCATCAATGAACCAAGATGCAAACATAAACTCTAATACTAGCTACTGAAATATAATAATAACAACCACTGTTTTAAAACCCAACCGGGCCCAGCCAGTTTAATTGGTTTAACCAGGACCCGAAAGCTTCACCGAGCCGGGTTAACATTTTTCCTATTCACCAAAAACCTTAGAATTTAGAATGATGATCGACGAACAATTGAAGGCTAAGATGTTGAGGCTTTTGAAGAAAAAGTGCCAATGAGTGCAATGGTGGCAATGAAGTTGATTTCTAGTGAGTGAATCAATCGGAAATCGAAAAAAACTGGCGGCGGAAACAATCAACTTTTGCTGACGATTGGCGAGGCTAACGAGGGGGTGAGATGGATTTTGGTTGGGAGGAAAATGGGAGTATTTTCGGGGTGATGGGGAGGGTTGTCGACGCCGAAGTCTGTGAGATTTGGCCTGGAATGCCGACGTCAACGTCAGTCAGATCTAGCCAAAATCGAATCGATTTCAACCAGAAATTGGGTATATTTTCTGAGGAATGGGCTCAAGGGATGATTGGGATTGCATTTGAGGTGTCGTCGTCGCCAACCAATTTGTATTTGGGGTTTATTTGCCAAATTTCAAACCTATGGGGGCTTAACATTATTTTCAGGGGTGTTTTTGCCAAATTTTAAAGTTTTGTCATTTGATTTGACTAGCTGGTCCAACAGGGACCCGGTAACTTTGTCGGGTTGATTATTAAAACATTGATAACACCTGCTAAAGCAGAAATAAAGAATACTAAGAATTAACGAGATTCGGTATTGTAACCTATGTCCTCGTGCGTTGCAAAAGAAAACTCTACTATCTACAAACAATATTATTAACTTTTGGGTAATATTACAAATACCCAAATTATATAGGCATAAAAACAATTACCCAAAACAAAGGGGAATAACAACAAAACTTTTTCAACTAAAAGGTCCTTAATGAAAGAACCTTATATAAGAGGAATCTAACAAAACAATATTTGAAATGTATAAAACCATGACTTGGATCCTTATATATAGGTCTTAAAAGTTTCTCCATTTTCATTCATACTCGATGTAGAATTTTGCTAATTAGCCATTCTTCCAACAAATCTCCACCTTAGTGAATCAGCAAACTTTCAAAGTCTTGTATTTTTCTAACAAATTTGGCAACACCTTCAAATTTTCATATGTTTATGATGGGTTGGAAGTACACAAGAAGCAACTTTGACTACTATGTGTATTTTCAAAGGCTACAAGGTGATACTCTTATTTATCTACTCTTATATGTTGATGATAAGTTGATAACTTCAAAGAATGTAGAAGAAATTGAGAAGCTAAAGGCTTAACTAAATCAAGAATTTGAGATGAATGATTTTGGGGAAGCCAAGAAGATTCTCGATATGGAGATAATTAGAGGCAGAGGAAATGGCAAGGCTTGATTGATACAAAAACAGTATCTAAGGAAGGTCTTACAACGTATTGCCATAACTGAAAAGACAAATCCTGTAAGTACTCCACTTGCTTCTCATATAAAGTTTAGAGCATCATTATCTCAATCCATATTCAAATGCAGTAGGTAGCTAGATGTATGCAATGGTGTGTACTAGGCTCGACATTTCACATACAGTTGGAATTGTGAGCAGATATATGCATAATCTTGATAAAGGACATTGGCAAGCTGTGAAATGGATTTTAAGGTACATTTTAGGTACTGTAAACATTGGTTTGGTTTTTGAGCGAGATGATAATCTTAGTCAATTTACTGTTGGCTATGTTGAATCTGATTATGCTAGTGATCTGGATACGAGTCGGTCAATTACTGGATATGTATTTACTCCTGCTAGAGCTCCAGTAAGTTGGAAATATTCTTTACAGTTTACAGTTGCTTTGTCTACCACAGAGGCAGAATATATAGTAATCACAGAGACTGTAAAGGAAGCTATTTGGTTACAAGGACTATTAGAAGAATTAAAGATTAGTCAGAAGATCACTATCTATTCTGATAGTAAGAGTGCTATTCATTTAGCAAAGAATCTAGTATTCCATGTTCGCACCAAGCATATCGATGTCTGTTACCACTTTGTGTGGGAAATCATTAGTGAAGGAAGAATTGCCTACGGAAGATTGAGACTATTGAGAATCCCGCAGATATGTTAATGAAAGTAGTGACAATGATCAAGTTCAACCACTGTTTGAACTTGATCAACATCATGCAAGCTTGACTTCGTCATTTGACGCATTTGATGGTGTTGCAAAATTTGTCAGAAGAGTACAAAACTTTGAAGATTTGCTAATTCGCCAAAGTGTAGATTTATTGGAAAAATGACTCATTAGCAAAATCCCACATCGGGTAGCAATGAAAATGGAAAAAGGTTTAGGGACCTATATAAAATTAGCCACGGTTAGTAAGTCTCACATTGGTTAAGAATGAAAATGGAACAACTTTTGGGGCCTATATATAAGGACCCAAGCCATAATTTTATATATCCCAAACAGTGTTTCCATTACACCCTCTTATATAGGGTTCTTTTATTAAGGACCCTTTAGTTAAAAAGTTTTGTTATATTTCCCCTTTGTTTTGGGTAATTATTTTTATCACCATATAGTTTGGGTATTTGTAGTATTGCCTAAAAGTTTACAATATTCTTTGGAGATAGTGGAGTTTTTTTTTGCAGCGCCCGAGGACGTAGGTTACAATACCGAACCTTGTTAATTCTTGATATTCTTTATTTTTGTATTTATTTCTGCTTTAGTAGTTGTCATTATTATATTTCAATAGCTCGCATTAGAGTTTATGTTTCCGTTGCATAACAAGTGGTACATGAAGATCATATTTTCTTCTATACAAAAGAAAATAATGGATTTACCTGTTGAGCACTACCACCAAATTGAATATGCCTGTGTTTCTGTTCACCTTTTCCACCATATACCTGTAAAGAAAGAAGATCAAAGAAGCATATAAGAAATGCAAGGAAAATAAATGAATTAAGAGCAATATTAACAAAAGTCAAATGTAACAGTGCTTGATAATCAAAGATTTGCCTACCTTAATCATTGCTCCAGATTCATTTCTGATCCTCGATATGTTGGTGCCACACCTTCCAATCAACCCACCGACCAATGTTTCCGAAATCATCATCTCGAATGTTACATAATCAGCTGCAAGATTGGTTGTCCTAAAGATGATGTGGTTATAAGAAAAATATTAAAACTTGATAAAGCTGCAAAATGTAGCAGTTCAAAATTACAAGTATTCGATTTGAGAAGCATGGAATAACCTGAAGTAGGATCCACAAATGGTTGTGCTGGTCTTACTGCACCATAATTGTATGTTGGGCTAACGGATATCACTTGTCGGGGTGGGTTTTCCCTAAACATAATGAAAATGAAGAATAATTATACATATTTATCCTTTCCTAGAGCATAAAAAAATACCAGGTTGGGAAAACCAAGTAATGTCAAAGTTCAATGCAAGACCTGAGCTGATAACCAATCTCTACCAATGCCTTTAACACTGCAGGAATATCACCTGATATCTGAGTTTAACAAATATGTTAACATTATTCAGCAACACAAGAAAGAAAAGAAAAAGCAATACAGAAGGGATTTTATGAATTGATTGTATATGATTCTTGCATGTGAGCGGAAAATAATGTAGTATAAAGTGACAGCAAGTGAATAAAATTGAACACAAGAAATCTCACCTGTACAACTCGATCAGATTCATGAGCAGATGCACATAAAGGTAATTGATTTGGTGCAAGAATCACAATTGTGGCACCTGAAGAATTCCTCAATTTCTCAATGTTTTGACCAGACATCCCAATTAGACAACCCGCTTGTGACCCAGCAATCAAAAGTCTTATAGTGTTAGCAGCCACATGCCCTGCAGTTACTTTTGAAGCCTCTGCATTGCTATCATCTTCCTGTTATTTACAATATGAAACAAATATCCCATTAATCTGCTCACAATATTTTCAGGCCCATAGAAATTATGCCTGGACGAATAAAGACACTTCACAGCAGTAGTTTCTTTAGCATATGGCAACTTGTAAATCGCATTTCCAATTTAAGTAAATACAGATTTCTAAAACGAATTCTTGAAATGTAGAGCATAAAATTACCTTTAGAATCAAAGTGGCTATTTGTTGGAGCGCATTTTCAGCATCAGAAACCACGTTATCACTATCTTTAGAACTTATAATAATCACTCGCTCTTCATGTCGCTGTTCAACAAATTATTCTAAACACATTATTCACTTATTAAATTTGAAGTTAACACAGTCGGTCTCTTATTACGTTATTGGAGTTTCGGTTCAGGATTTTATGAAAATGCTGCGAATTTTCGCAGAAGCAAACCCTAAATTAAACACAATAAAAAAAAAAATTAAATTAAATAAAAAGAACTTACTGCAATAGCATCAGCGATTTTTATAGTGGCCTTGGTTTCCTCTCGAATCTTCTGGATTCTATGTCCTTCTTTGCCAATGACCTTTCCGATCTGCCTTGAAGGCACCACTATTCGAAACAACACATCCTGTGCTTTAGCTCTCCGTTTCGAACCTGGCTCTTCGCACTCCCCATCTTCACGGCGGCGCTTTCCGGAGACATCAAGCTGTGTCACGGATTCGGTGCCGGAGACGGCGTCGATTGCGGTGGGTTCTGTGGGGTTCACTGGAATTTCACCTTGATCGGCCATAGGTTGAGAGGTAAAAGACCTTGGCAGTAACAAGCAGCTTATCAACTTATCAGCTAATTCAAAATCTACAGGCTATTATAACTCATGAAATTACTTTATTGACCTTTCAAATTTAATTTTTATGAAACGTTCAATTATTAAACCCAATTACGGGTTAGCACGCACCTCATCTACTATATAAGCTAGGTTTGGGCGGGATCTAGGTACCTGCCCAAATCCCATGGAATCAGAATCGGTCGATTCCTAGGGTTTGGATTCAGAATCAATTAATTTCGGTTTCTAAAAGCCTTCAAGGTCTGGTATCGGTTTCGGTTATGGGTGTCTGAGAAAATTACATTACCCATATTATTCACAAAAATAACAAATACACCTTAAAAACTTACACCCCAAAACTTTATAAAAATTATAATTCAGTCCCGATTCCTACCCATGTCTCGATTCTGATTTCGGTTCTTGGTTCCGATTTCAGTTTATTCAGTGGTTTAACCGGAACCGCACAATATCAATTCCCATTTTTTAGAACCAGAACCTTGAATATTCGCCGGTTTCGGTTGTACCCTATTTTTCTGCCACCCCTAAATATAACCGATAAATAATGAAATACCATAATACAAAGATAATAAATATAGAGTAAACGACTTTTTTCCACCCAAATAATGGCTTAATGACACTCTCTCACTTAAAATGTTTCAAAATACAACTTTATTATCCACATTATACATTTATTAGTAAATTTTATTGGGAAGAAGGGCAAGATGATTAAAAGTTCGTTATAAGTAAAGGTCAATATGGTCAACTAGCATTATGCATCAAAAATCAAAATTTAGGATTTAGGGTTATAACTTATAGAATACTATTACACCCACGAGCCATTCTCACAAACATTTCTTACAACCCCGACGTAGCAATTGAATTGGTACTATCATATTAGCTGCACCACACCAAAGGCATAAAATGATTTTGACTAGACCTATGAAATAGTCGTTTCTTCATAGGGAACAACCATTCCTTATTGAAGGAATGGTCGTTCCTCACAGAAGGAATGGTTGTTCCTCTCTCAAGGAATGACCATTCATTCCCTACGAAATGGTCGTTCCTTGTGATTTGTGAAAGTATGGTCATTCCAAGGAATAGTCGTTCCTTATGAAGGTATGGCCATACCTTGTGAAGGAATGATTGTTCCTTCACAAGGAACAATCGTTCCTTATGAAGGAACGTCAGTTCAAAGTCCTTTTAGTGCCTTAGGTGTGGTGGGAGTTGACGTGATAGCACCAACTTTGTTGCCATATTAGAATTGTAAGAGAAAGTTGAGAGATTGGGTTGTAAATGTATTATTTTCTAACTTATAACAAACCTACAAAAATAATGAAGAAAACCCACCCCCATCTCATCCACTTTGCCACAGTCACTCGACCCCCTAACCTAGTTTGCCACTGTCACTCCACACCTCACCCACTTCACTTCTCACTATTAGGCCACACCCTTCACACCAGTGCTACAATCCGAAATCAACACAAATCACTGCCACACCAACACAAATCAACATTGTTTCCTCCTCTGAACCCCTTTATTCTATCCTCTTTCTATATTACCCCCAAATCATTTCTCAAAACTTCCATTTCATAATCGAAAGACATTACCTACGTTTTACAAATTTATGTTTGTATTTAGAATAATGCTATGGACATCGAATTTTTGTACTGAAGGACATGACCTCTGGTCAGACGCGGCCACATTGGAGTCTTCAGTGAATAAACAGTCATCTAATAATTATGGACGCTCGTCTATATTATATGAATGGGTGTCCATTTACTATGGATAGGAGTTCATATAAGATGGATGTTCGTCCAAAAAGTTTTAAAAACAAAATAATGGACATTCGTCCATCTTTTATGGACGCTCGTCCATATACATTGGCTACTTCATTTTTATTTGTCTTCTTGCTCAATACAATATTCAATTTTTATTTGTCCTCTTGCCCAATTCAATGCAATTTCTATTTTTATAATATATAGTACCACAACATTCAGCTCCAGTCCTGTTTGTGCCTGCTCTTATTCAATACTAACTCAATTAGGTCAAACTGGTGCAATTAATGTTTGTTGGTTAGTGTCAGACTTTATTACCGTTTCAATGAATAGTGATATCTAATTAATAGGATTCGCAATCATACTGGTATGTCCTTTATTTCTCTGATTATTTAAGCATTAAATAAATTTAAAATTTAAAATTGTTAATATTCCATCTTATGAGGACGACGACCATTCTTATAAGATGGACAGGCGTCCATAAACAATCTAGGCCAATTTTTTTTAGTTTAAATTATGAATAGGCATCCATTCTAGTGGACGACCATCTATAATAAATGGACTCCTGTCCATATTAGAGTCCATTGTTATTTTCGCATCGAACGATCGTCTAATAATAATGGATGGCCATCCATATTTGATGGACGACCGTTTATTCACGAAATATTTGTTAACGTGATACGTGGCTCATCTGATTTAAATAACATATCGTTCGATGTAAAAATTCGGTGCAAAGCATAAATGTCCATAACATTATTCTTGTATTTATTTCCTATTGTTACTTCTACGAGGATGATTGTGGAGTTAGGGATAAAGGATGAAGTTGTATAGAATAACTGGGGAGTAAAGGTGGAAAAGTAATCCGCCCGGCCTGGCCCACGGCGGGTTACATTCTTTGGCGGGCCGGGCCTAACCCGCCCGCCAACAAAGGCGGGCCGGGTTAGGCCCACCATTTTGGAGAAAATGGCTGGCCCAGCCCGGCCCACCAACCCTAACCCCTCGGGTTAGGCGCGGTCCGGGCCGGGTTAGCCCGATTTTCTTATTTTTTTTTGTTTTTTTAATTTAACTTTTCAAATAAATAATTATAAATATAATTGTTTAATTTGTTTTTAGTTAACTTTTCAAATATTAATAATTCAATTCAATTCAAATTTTTTTTTTTTTGGTTAACATTTCAAATATTAATTCAATTTTAATATAATAAAATTGTAATATAAGAAAAATTAGACTTATTCATTTATCAAAAAATAAAATAAGAAATTACAACAATTATTGTCTCGTTAAAAACCTCACCAAGAAAAACCCAATGGAAGAAAAACTTGGTAAAGAAAAAAGAGTGCNACCGATCCAAGCCTACGTGAGTTTTTTCAAAATGAGCAATCAAGAATTATGCAAAAAAGAGCTCAACAACAAGGTCAAAGATCTCAAAATAACTCTAGTTCTTTTCAATATTTTGATGATCTTACTGGATCCGGAATTAATCTACCGGAATAATAAATTGTTATTTTAGTTTATGTTGTATTTTCTTTTAATTTAAGTATTTTTAAATTAGTGTTAATTTTTATTTTGAGTTATTGTAGTTTAATATTTGCATTGAATAAAGTTCTATTTTTAATTTTTTATCATTTTTTAAATTATATCATTATTATGAATTTATTATTATAAATAATAATCAAATTAAATTAAATACAAATACTCAAATTTGGTGTGATTTTTGGTATAAAATTTAATACTCAAATTAACTTAACAAAATTAAAAACAAAAAAAAGCAAAAAAAAAATAAAAATTGTTTTTTATTCGTGCTACAGTACCACACCATTTTGGTGTGGTGCTATAGTGCCGCGCACTTTGGCGTGGGTTGGAGCACCAACCCACGCCAATTTGGTGTTTTTTACGCCATTTTGGCGTGGGTTGGAGATGCCCTAAGATGATATTGAAGCTGGAGACTACGTAGATCACTTGGCCTTGATATGGCTTCCAGTGCTGGCTTATAAGTCATAGCGCAATTTGATGAGCGTCCATTTTTTTGTTGTAATGAACAACTGCTAGAGCATATCCCGGTATCCTTTTTTTTTGCAATCGGAATATTCTAAGGCTATTTCAACTCATGAAATTACTTTATTGACCATTCTATTTTAATTTTTATGAAATGTTTAATTATTAAACCCAATTACAGGCTACGACGCACCTCATCTACTATAAGGAAAATAATATAGCCACCGATGGTAGTGCACCGAATGACGTGATAAAATCCTGATCGTTGATTAATTTTAACTTAATATCAATCAATAGTCAGGATTTTGTTACGTCATTCGGTGCACTACTGTCGATGACTATAGCATTACTCCAATTATAAAACCAATAAATAATGAAATATCATAATACAAAGATAATAAATATAATATAAAAAGATTTATAAAATATAATTTTAATTGAATTTAAATTGCACGACATTGTAAATGTCTCACCAAGAGTACATAATTGTACACTTTTAACCCTCGATAATTGCTTATTTCTGAAAATAAAAGAGAGACAGAAGAAGTTTTGTCTGAAACGGGTGTTAACCTCCGTGTAAAAAGCCCCAAAATCTAACGAAAGCCGAAACCCTAAACCTCGTTACAACAATGCCCATCTCTAAATCTGCATACACAATCTTTTCCCGCCATTTGAGTTCACTGCCAAAGCTTCCAAGAATCCCATTTAAGTACAAGCAACGAGCCATCGAAGAAGCGCAACAAGCAGTTACCGACTATCTCCACTACACAAAGTCCATACCTTTCGCTTACGCAGATCACATTAGCCGAAATTCTTTATACAATCTATTCAATCTCATTTCAAATGTCGGCGTTCCTTATAAAACTTCTAATTTCTCTAAGTCCATCGTTAGATTCCTCAGGTACCACCCTATTAACGAATTTGAGTTTTTCTTTGAAAGTATTGGGATACATTACAGTGAAGTAAGTAAATTTTTGCCTGCTAATAAGTTTTTCTTTTCGGAGGATGGGAGTGTATTCAGTGCTGCTTGTGCGCTTTCGGGTTTTGGGTTTCCTTGGAATATGTTGGGGAGGTTGTATAAAGAAGAAGTTTTGATTTTTAGTAAGAGTTACGAAGAAATAACGTCTAGGCTTTGTGGGTTTAAAAATGATTATGGGTATAATAAATGGACTCCCGTCCATATTAGAGTATATTGTTATTTTCGCATGGACGGAAGTCTATTTCAAATGAACGATCGTCCAATAATAATGAATGGTGCAGAATATTTGTTAACGTGATACGTGGTTCGTCTAATTCAACTAACATCTCGTTCGATGTAAAAATTCGGTGCAAAGTGTCGGTGTCTATAGCATTATTTTTGTATTTATTTCCTATTGTTACTTATATTAGGATGATTGTGGAGTTAGGGATAGAGGATGAAGTTGTATAGAATAACTGGGGAGATGATAATTTTGTTGGCTTCCAGCGGAGAAACCAAACCAATCCTGAATCTGAGTGGTGAAAGTGGGAGGTGGGAATGGGTTTGATTGAGGTGGGAGTGAGTTTTGATTGTGGTTGTGACATAAATGGAGTTTGAGGGGTGGTTATAGAGGATGGAGAGAGAGGTGGATCCAGTTGTAAAGGTGGAGATGGTTTGTTATGGTGTTAGATCCCAGACAGCTGGTTAGGCGAAACGCTGCCAGCATAGGCTGCGATCTGGACTAGTCAAACGTAAGTAGGTTGCGACGCAATGCAGGTGGCATTCGACTACGGCGATGAGACTTTTCCTTTTTTAAAACAATTGTCTTTTTTTTTTTCTTTTCTTTTTTCGAGAGAAACACGCACTGTTAGATAGTAAAGTTGTATTTTGAAATTTTGGGTGAAAAAAATCGTTTACTCCTTAATAAAATATAAAAAGATTTAAAAAAAATAAAGAGAACGATTATTTCCCACCTAAGGTTTGGCCTAAGTTAGTTTTTCTCCCAAAAATATTTCAAAAAGATGCTTTTTAGTCGGACTGTCAGTCGAGCCGAGCCACTCGCGAGCTTGCTCGACTTGACTTGGTTAGAGTTCGTTTGGAGCTCGACTCGAACTTGATTTGTTTACAGAGTCAAGTTTGAACATAGTGAAGCTCGGCTCGTGGGCTCACGAGCTTGGTCCGGCTCGTGTAAACACTGTGCGCTTATATAGGGTGTTTTGGTGATTTTTTAAACTATGAGGTATTAAACTGATATTTTCCAGTAAAAAAACTTTGAAAAATAAAATAGGAGTGAGCGTTGGGCACTGCATACTGACATACACAATCACCAACACTCACTGTATCCACAATTCCGCATACTCTCTTCTCTCATTTTAATGCTTTCATTCACTTCTCTTCTCTCTCAAGTCTCAACTCAACCACGTCTTCTTCTTCAACCTTTCTTCTTCTTCTTCATTTTACTTCTCTCTTCTTCTTCTTTTTCACTTTTAGCTAATGTTGATAATGATCACACCCTCACAACTTACATCGTCAAAGTCCACTACGATGCCAAGCCCTCAATTTTCCCAACTCACAAACACTAGTACGAGTCCTCCCTTTCCTCCTCCACCTCTCTCATCCACACTTACGACACTGTCTTCCATGGCTTCTCTGCTAGATTCACTTCTTTTGAAGCTCAACAACTCAAAACTCTCCCCCATATCATTGCTCTCATTCCTTAACGAGCTCGCAAGCCTTAACAAGCTCGAGCTCGATATTGGGCTCGCGAGCTGGAGTTTGAGCTGGCTCGAGCTCGCCTCGAACTCGACCGAGCTCAAGTTTGAGTCTAAATTCTGAGGCTCGCTAGGCTCGAGCTCGAATTCGAGCTCAACACTGTAGTAAACGAGCCGGGCTCGATAAGCCAAAAGCTCAAGCTCGACTAGGCTCAGCTCGTTTACAGTCCTACTTTTTAGTTAGTAAAATCTGTTAATTGACATGGTCTATTCAATGAAAAGATAAAAATACCTTTTACTATTTGAATCTAAATTCAAATCTTTACCTAAACTGAAAAAAATTATAAAAATTTGAAAAAATGACTTGGGTCAAACGTTGGGTAGGAAATTGTCGTCTGTCGAAAATAAAATTTTAATTTAATTTAAATAGCATGACAATGTAAATGTCTCACCAAGACTACATAATTTTACCCTTAACTCTTGAATTACCGGTTGATAATTATATTCATACGCACTTATTGATAATTGTTTATTTCCGAAAATTGAAAAAGAAACAGCTCTTGTCTGAAACACGCTCCGTGTGAAAAGCCCAAAAATCTAATGAAAGCCAAAACCCTAAACCTCGTTACATCAATGGGCATCTCTAAGCCTGTATACACAATCTTTTCCCGCCATTTGAGTTCACTACCAAAGCTTCCAAGAATCCAATTTAAATACAAGCAACGAGCCATCAAAGAAGCGCAACAAGCAGTTACCGACTATCTCCACTTCACAAAGTCCATACCTTTCACTTACGCAGATAATATTAGCCGAAATTCTCTATACAGTCTATTCAATCTCGTTAGAAATCTCGGCGTTCCTTATAAACCTTCTAATTTCTCTAATTCCATCGTTAGATTCCTCAGGTACCACCCTATTAACGAATTTGAGTTTTTCTTTGAAAGTATTGGGATACATTACAGTGAAGTAAGTGAAATTTTGCCTGCTAATAAGTTTTTCTTTTTCGAGGATGAGAATGTATTGAATGCTGCTTGTGCGCTTTCGGATTTTGGGTTTCCTTGGAATATGTTGGGGAGGTTGTATAAAGAAGAAGTTTTGATTTTTAGTAAGAGTTGCGAAGAAATAACGTCAAAGCTTTGTGGGTTTAAAAATGATTATGGGTTCAGTAATGATACTGTGATTGGTGTGTGTTTCGCTTTTCCTCATGTGTTGTTGGTTGAGGATGATGAATTGTTTGATGATTTGAAAAGGGTTTTTGTGGATTTTGATTTAGTGAGCTGCGCAGAGGGATATGTGGATTCTTGGTACGAAATTTGTAGGAAGATTCGCTTGTTTTATGATTTGGGTTGTGAGAAGGGGACGTTAGGTGAATTGGTGGGTGAGAATAAAAGAATATTTGTTGATTATTCAGAAGAGGTATTGGCTCAAAAGGTGGAGTTCTTTTGTAGATTTGGGGTAAGGAACGTGGATGTAGCCTTGTTGCTTCTTAAGTGCCCAGAGATCCTGAGTTTTGATTTGGAGACAAGAGTGATTTCTGTGGAGGGATTATTCAGACATTTTGGATTGAGTGCCAAGGAAACGAAATCTATATCTGAAAAGTACCCATATATATTGGGAAGAAATAAATTGGCTAATTTGCCTCATGTGATGAGGGCGGCAAATCTTCAAGATTGGTTCATTGACAAGATCAGGAATGGAAATCATCAACTGTTAGGGAATTATGCCTTAAGCAACTCTAACGAAGATTTCGATCAAGAATTTAGGGATGGCTTGGAGAGGATCCAATCTTCAAAACTTCGTCTTCATACAATGAAGAAGTTAACATTCTTGCATGGAATTGGTTATGGAGAAAATGCTTTCACTATGAAGACATTAGCTCACTTGCATGGCACCAGTAGTGAGTTGCAAGAGCGATTTGATTGCCTTCTCCATTGTGGGATTGAATTCTCGAAGGTCTGTAGGATGATAAGATTGACTCCAAAGGTTATGAACCAGAGTCCAGAAACTATAGAGCAGAAGGTGAACTTCCTGTGCCAGGACATGGGTGCTTCTTTGGATTACCTTGATATGTTCCCAACATTTTTGTGTTTTGACTTAGAGTACAGGATTAAGCCCAGGTACAGATTCCACATGTGGCTTACAGATAAAGGTTTGTCTACCATAAATTACTCCATTGCGAGCATGGTTGCTACTAGTGAAAAGAGTTTCATAACTCGCATTCATGGAATTCACCCAGCTGCTCCAAAACTGTGGTTGGAGTCTTTCTTGTGCAAAAGAACTAGTAATAATTGCTAGAAGGCATTTTTTTCAATGATGAAGTACAGTAAATATGACTGAGTTACTCTACAGTTTCCTGGAGATTTTACTTATCATCCAGAAATTATTATTCAATTTTCTTGGAAAGTTCTGTAAATTGGTATCTGACATGCGACAATAGCATTACCCATTTTTCGCAGGTCCTTGTTTTAAACCACTAAGATGATATTGAAGCTGCAGACTATGTTGTTCGCATCGCCTTAATATAGCTTCCAAAGCCGGCTTACAAGTCATATCGCAATTTGATGAGCGTCCATTGTATGTATTGAGCAACTTCTAATTACCGCATTTTATACTGGTATTTGATTCTATTTGTTTACGATGAATTCTTTTTATTGGAGAAAAGAAAAAGAAAAAGCCAAATAGATTGGCGCTCTCATGAAGAAATGCAATTTTTTTTTTTTTCCTTTTGGCCTTTTTGGTTTCCTGTTCTAATTACGTGATTTGTCTATGATTGTTAGGCTACTTCTCTAATTAGACCCTATCAACAATCCCATAATTTCTTCTACAGCCAAACTGATGGAGAATTACCATACAAGTTGTAGTGGCTCATTTTCAGGGGAGAACAGAACCTTATCCAACAGGTTTTTCTTAAATGAAAAATACAAACGAAACCAAGGCTAGTGCATATCTGAGAAAGTTTATTACCCCCTATTATTCACAAAAATGACAAATGCATCCCAAAAAATAACAATACACCCTAGAAGTTTACAAAAATTACAGTTCAGTCCTGATTCCTACCTAGGTCTTGGTTCTGATTCCGGTTCTAGGTTCTGATTTCAGTTCCTACAGTGGTGGAACCGGAATAGCACAATACCAGTTTCGGTTTTGTAGAACCGAAACCTCGAATATTTGTTGGTTTCGGTTCTACCCTATTTTTTCACCACCCTTATATATAATCGATAAATAATGAAATACCATAATACAAAGATAATAAATATAGAGTAAACAAATTTTTTTCACCCAAATAATGGCTTAATGACACTTTCTCACCAAAACGTTTCAAAATACAAAATTATTATCCACAGTATAGATCCATTAGTAACTTTCATTGTGTAGGAGGGCAAGATGGTTAAAAGTCCCTTATATGTAAGGTCAAGATGGTCAATTAGTATTGTGCATCAAAAATCAAAATTTAAGGTTTAGGGTTGTAACTTATAGAGTAATACTACGCCCACAACTCATTCTTACAAACATCTTTACAACCTTGACATGGCAACTAAGTTGGAATTATCACATCAGTTGCATCACACCCAATGCACAAAATGATTTTGACTAAATCTATAAAACGGTCATTTCTTATTGAAGGAATGGTCGTTCCTAACAATAGGAACGACCATTCATTCCTTATGGAACGGTTGTTCCTTGTGATTTGTGAAGGTATGACTATATCATTCATTCCTTATGGAACGGTCGTTCCTTATGCTTTGTGAAGGTATGATCATTCCAAGGAATGATCGTTTCTTATGAAGATATGACCATATCTTATAAATGAATGATTGTTCCTTCGTAAAGAACGATAGTTCAAAGTCATTTTAATGCCTTGAGTGTGGTGAGAGTTGATGTGATAGTGTCAACTTTGCTATTATGTTAGAATTGTAAGAGAAAGTTGCGGAATTGAATTGTAAATGTAGTATTTTCTAACTTACAACAAACCTAAAAAAATACGAGGAAAACCCACCCCATTTCGTCCACTTCGCCACCGTCACTCCACACCCTCACCTGCTTTGCCACTGTCACTTGACACCTCACCCACTTCACTTCTCATTGTCAGGCCACACGCTTCACACCACTACTACGATCCAAAATCAACACAAATCACCGCCACACCAACACAAATCAACATCGTTCTCTCCTCTGAACCCCTCTATTCTATCCTCTTTTTATATTACCCTCAAATCATTTCTCACACTTCCATTTAATAATCGATAGACATTACCTACATTTTATGGATTTATGTTTGTATTTATTTCCTATTGTTATTTCTATTATGATGATTGTGGAGTTAGGGATAGAGGATGAAGTTGTATAGAATAATTGGGGAGATGATAATTTTGTTGGCTTCTGTGGAGAAACCAAACCAATCCCCGGAATCTGTACACGGCCTAACTTCCGACCAGAAATGGTCGGAAGTTCACCGCTGTGGCCTTTTCCGACAGATCCACCACGGATCTGGCCGGAAAAGGCCAGATCTGGCCGTCGCTGACGGCCAAAGAGGCCCTCGTTTGGCCTTTTCCGGCGTCAACGGCCATAACAGCCGTAGATCTGGCCTTTTCAGGCCAGATCCACCATGGATCTGGCCGGAAAAGGCCATAACGACGGTTTACGGCACATATCCGACAGTCTGTGCCGTAACGAAATTTCCGGCCAGATTCCGGCGGTGGTGCCGGAATCTGACACTGCAGGTGGTGGGGTGTTTTTGTCATTTTATATGTTGGGTCTTTAGTTAATTAGTAAACCTAAGGCTTTTTTATAAATTTTTAAAATTTCCTCGTTACTCCCATATCCAATACCCAATACTATCCCTAAATCATATCCAAATACTAAACCAAACACACCCATAAAATTGAAAAAATGATTGGGTCAAACGTTGGGTAGGAAATTGTCGTCTGTCGAAAATAAATTTTAATTTAATTTAAATAGCATGACAATGTAAATGTCTCACCAAGACTACATAATTTTACCCTTACTCTGAATTACCGTTGATAATATATTCATACGCACTTATGATAATTGTTTATTTCCGAAAATTGAAAAAGAAACGCTCTTGTCTGAAACACGCTCCGTGTGAAAAGCCCAAAAACTAATGAAAGCCAAAACCCTAAACCTCGTTACATCATGGGCATCTCTAAGCCTGTATACACAATCTTTTCCCGCCATTTGAGTTCACTACCAAAGCTTCCAGATCCAATTTAAATACGAGCAACGAGCCATCAAAGAAGCGCAACAAGCAGTTACCGACTATCCCACTTCACAAAGTCCATACCTTTCACTTACGCAGATAATATTAGCCGAAATTCTCTATACATCTATTCAATCTCGTTTAAAATCTCGGCGTTCCTTATAAACCTTCTAATTTCTCTAATTCCATCGTTAGATTCCTCAGGTACCACCCTATTAACGAATTTGAGTTTTTCTTTGAAAGTATTGGGATACATTACAGTGAAGTAAGTGAAATTTTGCCTGCTAATAAGTTTTTCTTTTTCGAGGATGAGAATGTATTGAATGCTGCTTGTGCGCTTTCGGATTTTGGGTTTCCTTGGAATATGTTGGGAGGTTGTATAAAGAAGAAGTTTTGATTTTTAGTAAGAGTTGCGAAGAAATAACGTCAAAGCTTTGGGGTTTAAAAATGATTGGGTTCAGTAATGTACTGTGATGGTGTGTGTTTCGCTTTTCCTCTGTGTTTTGGTTGAGGATGATGAATTGTTTGATGATGAAGGTTTTTGTGGATTTTGATTAGTGAGCTGCGTAGAGGGATTGTGGATTTTTGGTACGAATTTGTAGGAAGATTCGCGTGTTTTATGATTTGGGTTGTGAGAAGGGGACGTTAGGTGAATTGGTGAGAATAAAGAATATTTGTTATTATTCAGAAGAGGTTTGGCTCAAAAGGTGGAGTTCTTTTGTAGATTTGGGTTAGGAACGTGGATGTAGCTTTGTTGCTTCTTATGCCCAGAGATCCTAGTTTTGATTTGGGACACGAGTGATTTCTGTGGAGGGATTATTCAGACATTTGGATTGAGTGCCAAGGAAACGAAATCTATATCTGAAAAGTACCCGTATATATTGGGAAGAAATAAAATGGCTAATTTGCCTCATGTGATGAAGGCAGCAAATCTGCAAAATTGGTTCTTTGACAAGATCAGGAATGGAAATCATCAACTGTTAGGAATTATGCCTTAAGCAATCCTGACGAAGATTTCAATCAGAATTTAGGGATTTCTGGAGAGGATCCGATCTTCAAAATGGTTTTCACACATGAAGAAGTTAACATTCTTGCATGGAATCGGTTATGGAGAAAATGCTTTGACTATGAAGGTATTAGCTACCTTGCATGGCCCAGTAGTGAGTTGCAAGAGCGATTTGATTGCTTTCTCCATTGTGAATCGAATTCTCGAAGATCTGTAGGATGATAAGATTGGATCCAAGTTTATGAGCATGAGTCCAGAATCTATGGACAGAAGGTGAACTTCCTCTGCCAGGACATGGGTGCTTCTTTGGATTACCTTGATAGGTACCCAAGATATTTGTGTTTTGACTTGAGTACAGGATTAAGCCCAGGTACAGATTCCACAGTGGCTTACAGAGAAAGGTTTGTGTACCAAAATTACTCATTGCGACCATCCTTTCTACTACTGAAAGAGTTTCATGACTCGCATTCATGAATTCACCCACTGCTCCAAAACAGTGGTTGGAGTCTTTCTTGTGCAAAAGACCCAGTGATAAATGCAGAAGTAGAAAGCATTTTCGTCAATGATGCAGTAAATGTGACTGAGTTACTCTACAGTTCTGCAAATTGGTATCGACAGTAGCTTACCCATTTTTCGCAGATCGTTGTTTTAAACCCTAAGATGATATTGAAGCTGGAGACTACGTAGATCGCTTGGCCTTGATATGTTTTCCAGTGCTGGCTTAAAGTCTAGCGCAATTTGATGAGGCATCCATTTTTTTCTTGTAATGAACTACTGCTAGAGTGCTGGTGCATATCCGGTATCCATTTTCTGGCAACCGGATATTCTAAGCTATAACAACTCATGAAATTACTTTATTGACCTTTCAATTTTAATTTTTATGAAATGTTTATTATAAAACCCAATTACAGGCTACGACTAGGGGTGCAGTCGAACCGAGTAGCTTGTGAGCTACTCGGATTCGACTCGTGATGGAGCTCGATTACTCGTCAGGAACGAGTATTCGAGTTCGAGCTCAACTTCAAGCTTGTGAAAACTGTCGAGCTTTTCGGGTCGATCGAACTGTTCGCGAGCTGTTCGAAGAACTCGTTTCGTCATTCGAGCAGGAGAGCCCGTGAGATCGAGCTGTATTAATATTTGCCCAAAGTCTGATCAAGTCATTCATTCGCCAAAACAGAACATTCACGATTCACCTCCGCAAAAGCACAGCGCAAGATCTGAGACCACCATTGTCTAACCTTCATCCAGCCTTCATTCAGTACTACCGACCAGCGTCGCTTCAGCTTACGGTCCACCATCGTCTTCCCTTCTTCACTTTCCTGCTGCCACAAGGTTCATTTTCTGCTTCTTGACACCCAAAGTTGTCTCTTGCCGTGACTCTTCTTTAAACTTGTTTAAGTTGATTACAAATTTCTTTGTTTTCTCTCATCGTGGGTTATGTGACTGCTGCGATTTAGAATTGAAGCTGGGT